CGCGCTTTCCAACGTCAAATTTTCAAAAAATTTATGAAATTCCACAAATTTTTCCACTCCAACAGATAAAATTTAATATTTTCAGCCGTTTTGTGCCTCCAAAGATGAACGTCTTCCCAAATTTTTGCTCTAAATATTCCAAAAAGTTGGAAAATTTTAAAAATTTCAAAAAATATTCCTCCAATTTCACTAAAATATTCCCGAAAAATCCGAAATTTTTTAAAAATTTCCAAAAATATTCCCAAAAAATTCCAAAATCCACTCACCTTAACCGTCAGCACATCGATGACTAACTGCCCTTTATTGTGTATAAAACGCTGCTGATAACCAGCCAATTCGCTCGCGTAATTTTTCTCCATTCGATAGTACCACGGCGATCGTTGACCTCGTTGCTGTTAAAAAATTTTTTAAAATTCAAAAATTTTACCACCTCCCTCACCATTTTCCCATATTTCCACCTCCCCCTCAACCTGAAATCAACCAACTCCACCTGAAATCAATCAAGTACCACAACTACTCACCATATTGTTCTTTTTCGCCAGCTCATCGAATGTGTACTCGGCTTCGAAGATATTGCATCCCGCATCCGCATCGCCATTATAAATCAAAATTCTGAATTTATATCCACTGTCGACTATCTTCTGCAGCACCGGCAACGAATCGTTGTAGAGTTGGGTGTAACCAGCCTCGACCAATGGACTGAAATTTTGGTACTTTGCAATTTCAGGTCAAAAATATTCTTCTCCCTGATAATTTCAGGTTGAACCTCAACCTCACCTTCCAAAAAAAACACCTCAACAAAATCAATCACTGAATCACCGAACCTGCACGCTACCCAATTCTGCACGTAATCCGGAATATGTAACGCCCATCTGACGTGCGTTTGAGCCAGATACTTCTCTGAGGCTGCGTCCATATAGCACGGGAAACCACCCAGTTGATCCGTTGAGAACACGTACTCAGATGATCGCTAAGAACAATGATAGCGATCATGATCACGAAAACAATCAATCAACAATCAATCGATCAAAATAATGATCTATTGATCACGATATCCCACCGCATTTCTATCTACCAAACAAATAAACTACAAATTAGTGACGTCATTCGATCGAAATTCGAGTTCGGGCGGAGAAATCTGTTAAATTTCCGCATTCGGCATCTCAAAATCTGAATTCGATCGAATTCCGATCGAAAAATCACGAGATCCGATCGGAATCCCAAATGTTGTCGAAAAGTCGTCGAATCCGTCGAATCGCGATCGCCGAACTCGGCAATCGTTCGAATGCCACACCACTCCTACTAACGCCACAACAAATATCCCCCTGATCACCGAATATCCCCCCGATCACCCGATATCCCCCTGATCACCAAATATCCCCTGATCACCCAC